ATACTGTGTAGATAGATAGATAGATAGATAGATAATCATTTGCTTCCTATTTGGATTTCACAATTACCGTTTGCGGTGAGAACGATCTGTTTCCCCCCTCAGAAGGGAGTGCTCAATCCCAGAATCCCCAGTCGTGTTTCTACCTGACAATTTCTTGGTGTCATCGTAGTTGGCAGCTTCTGATCTTTTATTGGGAGCATTGGAGATTTTTCCTGTTAAACAGAATTGTATTATAATGAATAGAGTAAAAGAATAATGTGAGTCTGGTGTAAAAACAAGACAAAAGAAAATAACAGATGTTGCCCATAGCAATCACTTTTTGACAAGGCTAGAAAATAAAAATAAGCATCTAATGGGCTGCTAAGGGCAATGCTGGGACAAGGTCCTTTAACACCCGAGGTGAAAAGGCCAAGGTATGCCCCCCTACCATGTGCTGTGAATTATTTCTGCAGCCTAGGTTGCAGGTCTTGCCCTTGTATTCTCCCCTGCTGCCAAAGCACCCAAGGTGGCCGCCTGTTCTGCCTACACCTTGGCCCAGCCTAGGCTAAGGGCAACACTCACACTTTCCCTTACCTATAGGTATCTGTTACTAATAACTTCATGGTCATTGTGGACAAAAGGATAATATGGCAAACCGGATCAATTACAAAATCTTACAACTGTAAGAAGCAGAAGCAAAAACTTACATAAATGTATAAAACACAACTACAAATGTGGGAAAGTTTACCTACAGTTACAATGGCTATATACCTTAACCGGTATGGATAGTAAATCAGTAATTGGTGGATTAACTGTTTTGGAACATTCCAACAGAAAAAATGTGGACTAGTTAGCAGGGCAGATGAGGACTGTGAATCCTTGGCCTGGGAGGAAAACAGCCCACAAGCTCTTTCAGGTACGGACCGATTTCTGTAGGCTAAAGAAAGTCTACCACGTAAAGTGTGCCACTGTGCCACATTAATTGGTGGTCATGGTAGAAGTCGGTTGGTCCTGAAGGACATGGTTTATTGTGACACACCTTTTCACATTTTCCAACATCAGCTTCCTTTTCAGATCTCGGCATTCATTAATATTGCATCTCAGAGCAACAAAGGAAGTTAGGGTTGGAAAACTTCCCTCTGGCAAATGCTGTGATCACAGGTCTGAATGGGGAAGAGGAACCTATATAATGCTCAGCATGTCTCACTGACTGCAAGTCTCACTTTGATCAAAGTCTGAATGCTGCAATATCCAATCTGGGGGCCACCAGCCCAATATGTCCTATTATTACTGGCCCAGGAGGTGAACACCCACCTGCCCCTAAAGCCCAGTCCACTCCCATAACAGAACCAATAAGGTAGCATATATGTTTTTACTAACAACCAGAGTTTATATTTATATCATTTTATGGCCCTTTTCTCTTTTGTAAAACTATAGTTACAGAGTTAGTCATGTTGAAAAAAGACACAGGTCCATCGAGTTCAAACATAACTATAAAAAAAGGATACTATTAAAAGAACTTTTAGGCAGTTTTAGGCAAGCTTGAACCTGATTGCAATATATAGCTACAGATGTAGGGACCGAAGTGCACAACGGTTAGTCTTGTTTTATAGCCAGCCGAGACAATCGTTGCCTTCCACTTAAAAGAATGTAATATGTTTGGGTGGGGGTCTAACTTGAATGTGCACTTTTAGCTGCCAGTTTCATCAAACTTGTTGGTGTCCAATGATGTGCAGTGAATGAAATACCTAAGTCGATTGGAGGCAATATGCTGTTATCAATTTGAACATTGTATTGCATTTGATTGGAGATGGGCACAATCTCCCGACCCTTCCTATTCCATATGTAGCTCCTTCTGACATGATCTTCTTGGGGTGGTGGCGGTGATGTTACAGTGTTCTCAGCTGGCTGCAGTGCTGGCTTGTCCCACGTGGGGGCAGTAACAGTGGTCACAGAGTGATCAGATCCAGTGTATTCGGTGTGGTAATGGTGCTGATCTGGGGTGACAGTTGACCCGTATGTGCTGTCTTCATTACTGGCTCCAGGAAGAAGATATAACTCCGGTTCACGTGCCTGTAAAAATAAAAAATAAATTCTTACACCAAATTCAGAAAAGCATTGTGACAATTCAATGCTAATACCGTCGTCACATGCAACAAATTCCAGTACATTAAGTCATCAGGTCGTAGCAAATTCATTTTTGTCTTCTGTGGCCCCACTGTAGAGACTCTAGTTACATCCTGTGTGACAATACAAAAATGCTTGTAGTTGGGTTTTAAAGACAGAGAACCTATGGCTGCAAACTGTGCTAACCACTAAGCACAGTAGATTAAATGAAGCACTTTTGCTCTGCAGAAGAATCCCGGCCAGGACACTATCTGCATGGAGTTTGCATGTTCTCCTTGTGCTTGTGTGAGTTTCCGCCAGGTGCTCCATTTACATCCAAAACTCCAAAAGCATGCTGGTAGGTTAACTGGCTCCTGTCTAAATTGGCCCTAGAATGTCAATGTATGCATTTGAGATAGGGACCTTAGATGGTAAGCTCCTTGAGGGCAGGGGCTGATGTGTGTTGGTTATGTGTTTAGAAGAAGCACTGAGATCTTCAGGAATGCTGACATGCTGCTGGTTTTACTTGCTTAGAAGAACAATACATCAGAATACAGCATTATACAGCACGCAGAGAGAATTTTCTATATTATCATAGATAAGCATGAACATACAGACTAGCATAGACTAGCATTGCACTACATCGCCATCTACAGCTCAAAAGACATAATATATAATGTTGTATTTCCTAAAAAAAGAATGCAAAACGCTGCAAAAATTGGTGGCACAGGCAAAAATGTCTGCAATAGACAATACTTACATAAGGTGGAGCAAAAGCTTTCAGTTTCAGCTCTGGTTCTTGCCTTGCCTTTACCTGAAAAGGGATATTAGGTGGAATTATAACGATGTGTAAAATGTTTGGAAACTTGTTATTCACATAAGCCCTCATAGTGTTGATCTATCATTCGATTAGGCTATTGGTGGGACAATGTCTTCTCTACAGCCAGGCCTGTCCAGCCTAAGTATGTTCCTGTATGTTCCTGCATTTCAGGAGCCTCAGGCCAATTCTGCCATGGCTTCTAAGCACTTCACCCAATAGACCCATTCAGCTCAGGAAAACAGACCTTCTTGACACTACTAAATAGCATTTAAAGCGGATCAGAACTGTGGAAGCTGAACCCCAATATGGCAAGAGGAGTGCAAAAAACTAATCATGATTATTGCCTGTAGCTGACCTATTTCCCATTACTAACTTATCATGTTTTGTTCTGTGCTGTCTTTGTATGGAGGTCGCCATCTTGTAAGAAGAGCAGGGATTTGCTTCCTCATGTCAGAGAGCCAAGGTACAGAAATCAGAGATTCTTGACTATAGGTCCTCAGGTACAGCTTCCTCTCCAGCAAGAAGAACGGTGAGCACAACAGTACGGACCAGTTCACATTAGCTGCACGGTAGAATGTGGCATTTTACCATTCAGCTTAGTGTCTGCTGGGAGGCAGTGGTGAGCTGCGGTGCCTTGCATTGTTACATGTAAGTGATTGTTTCCATTTTTTGTTTCTTTTTCAACTTTGATAGTGTACAAAGCATACTCAATTCATGACTCTGTGTGGCAGCAGTGCGGTGAGATGATCTCCAGTGGCATCCAGCACCCTGCAGCAAAAATGTGATGACTGTAGTCCACTGTACCGCACATCACACCTGCATTGTGGTGAGAACGGGGCACATAAAACCATTTGTTTTCTATATGCCCTAGCGGTGACTGGCATTGGTCTGGTGCGAAAAGAATGTCGTCACTGTATGTGTGCATGGGGCCTAATGGCATCACCAAATCTGACTTCAAACCTGACGAGCCTAGCAGTCAGAAGCAACAGCGCCGTAGATAATCTCACACAGCAGATATACAACTATGAGTCTCAAAGCACTAAAAGTGAACCAACATTTTTCAGGTGGAATTCCAGGCAAAAGGTACAATCAACATCCCTAAATGTTCCCTATAAGATAGCAAATCTTCACTGCTTGAGTTCAGGTCCACTTTAAGTTTAGCCTATAGGCAGGGCCGGTGCTAGACTATTTTGCGCCCTAGGCAAGACCAGCTACTTGCACCCCCCAGCTCCCCTCCCTCAGCGCAACCGCTAATCCCTCCCCCTGCGCGGCTTCATTCTGTGGGCTAGCTTCCGCAGGTGACAGGTGGGTCTAAGTAGCAGGCAGCAATAGCCAGACTGCTATTGGCTATTTTAATTTGAAATAGCCAATGGCAGACTGGCTATTAAAATCCCTCCTGTTGAGTAGAGGAGCGGCCCTGAGAGAAAAAGTTGTCTCTCAGTTCCACTCCTCTGCTCATTGGGAGGGTGCCAGCTGCCACTGGCTTTTGCAGTTTGACAGGGACAGGGAGGGCACCGTGTGTGTGTGTGGGGGGGGGTTGTAGCAGCACCCAGCCCTGCCTATAGGATACCCATTGCATATATGGCAGCTGCTAACATCATCAGAACATAAAGGAACAGGACTAGGTGCTATAGGGAGCAAGTCATCTTTCCATTGGACAAAGGAGAGGAAACTCTACCAGAGGACTACAGGTGCCCCTATTTAGGACTATCAGGAATAGAGAAGGACCCTACACAATGCCTTCGGTAATGAAAGGAGCAGAAAGGAAAGCTGTGAAATGGCTGAGAGAGTTGTGAAAGCACATCACCGGGAAGCTGAGCAAATATTTGGCCACTCAACAATGAAATCACGTTGCCAGGTTCAAGGCCGCCTCCGGGCACAGCTCTGACAGTTATAGAAACCAGAAAACTAAGATACAATGCAAACTATTGCTTTCAACCTGAATAAATAATCGTTGCAAGGAATTGTTAGAAAATAACACTTTACACCTCTTTTTGCTTTATTACCTGACTTCCACTTATCTGTCAATGACAATGGTAGATCAAGCCAGACCTGTCACAAACACCTGGAAGCATTACACTTATTCATTATTTAGAATGTATTTATCATGAAAATTATATCTGATGCTAGGCCTGCTTTGAATTTAGGATGGTGTATGGAAGTGTTTGAACTAGGGCTGGTAATGATTAAAATTTTCGTGTTCGATTAATCGAAATTTTTTAAAATCGATTATTTTCGATTAATTATAACGCACATACAGATCCAACTACATTGGCCTATACACATACAGCACAGCAATGAAGTAATAAAATGAACTAGGATCCCACTAATCCAGCACGTTATTAATCTCACGTGCCCCACTCAATATGGCCGCCGCTTGAGTGGGGCAACTCAGAATAATAACGTGCTGGATTAGTGTGATCCTAGTTCATTTTATTACTTTATTGCTGTGCTGTATGTGTACAGGCCAATGCCTTGGCTGGCACTCGTGCAGAAAGTTTCTTGGGCAAACTCACCGGCACAAGTGGCTCCGTCGGCTAACGAAGGGGGAGGAGTCCGGTGAAGTCATGGGCATCGACGTCACTGGACTCCCCCCCCCTTCCCCTCGTTAGCCGACGGAGCCACTTAGGGAAGGGGGGAGGAGTCCGGTGACGTCGATGTCCGCGACGTCACTGGATCGCCGACGGGACTCCCGGAAGCAGGCGGAGAGGTGAGTGTTTTCATTAGCAATCAAAATAATTTTAATCGATCAAAAAGTTTAACGATTCATCGAGAAATTAATCTTTAATTTCCACAGCCCTAGTTTGAACCCCTGTCATATAGCTGTACCCCTGTTTATAGCTGTCTGTCTCTTCACTGGGGAGATTGACCCTCTTTCTCTGTTCTGGTGACCACTGTCACTTGGACTTAAAATGTGATAGAAAACCCAAAAACTTACAAGAGCAAGACTGCTTCCAACGCATTTTAAGAACACAAATTTGTCTGTTACAACATCTTCCCCCAGGAGCTCGGCCAGATTCTCTCGCAGTGTCCGCAGCCTCATATCAGGCGGTACCCTGAAAAAGATGCAGTTACTTTGAGGTGACCATACATGATATCAGTGCAGGTATAAGCAATTCATCATCGATTCAAATATCGAACAATGCAACACGCGGATGGATTGAGAAGATGATCTATCAGACAGAGCTATTAAAATGATCATTCAATCAATATGTATTACAACTGGAAGATATTGGTTCAATCAATCAGAAATGATCAATGAAATTCCACCACGGTTGACCGTAAAAAATGATCAAAAGCTCCATAAATCGATCAAATTACTATAGTGGCGCACTTGAATAGTAGCTGTGTGTGTGCTGCATGGAGTGTGTATGTCTTACCCAAATTGTCTGGGTTTCTTTTGGATGTTCCAGTTTGATAAATTGCCTCGTCGCCAATTTGCCCCAACTGTCTGTATGGGATGGGGACATTAGACTGTGTACCCAACTGGGGAAGGGGGACTGTTGTGAATGGATCTATGTACTTTGTGATGTTTTGCCAATGCTCTGTGATAGATAAACATTGGAAATAAATATATTGTATACTACAGAACTTAATGAGTATGTAGTCCAAAACAATGAGCTTCTCTTATTCACCCCCTTTTTGTCTGTAAAAGGAGAATTATGGGGTGAGTGAAATACACTCATCCCCATAATTAGAGCCGATGTGGGACACTGAAGCTGTCACAGGTCGGCTGTATTGAACATATACAGTACATACTGCTAATACAGTGCAGACAATACATAATAACATGAATGGATTAAATGATCTGTATGTAGCCCTGTACTATGGATCATTTAACCCATTCATGTTAGCAGAGGATCATTGTAAATGTATTGTTGCAGGCACTCTATATGTACATGTACTATATACTACATATAGAATGCACTGAATAAACAATAGATTTACAATATAACATGAATAGGTTAAACCATGATCCATAGTACATAACATGTAGTTGTACTATGGATCATTTAAAGTCACCTGTCCCTTTAAGAAAAATTATCGGTAATTGGTATCGGCAGGTACATGAGGGGATGTACTTGTACTTGGGCCTGAAAAAGTGGAATTGGGACATCCCTAGTTAATATCATGGAGTGCGAGTGACTACTTTCATCTATCTACATTTCACGGAGGCATCCGTTGTCACCACCGCACCCACCCAGTTGGATTTGGGTTTTTCGTCCGGTCAGGAGTGCGATGGGACAGGAGGATTAAGCAGAAAAATAATACACGCACACATCGTCATAAGAGAAAAAAAAGTGCATTCATTATTTTTTTGCATTGGTGCCAGTAAAGCATTGCGATCACGATCAGTAGATGGCGGGTGCAATGCTCTGGCTCCTGCAAACTCTTCCTCCTGTCCATGTGCATACCGAGGAACGGACATGCAGCAACATGGACGGGAGGAAGTGTGAAGAATGGACTACAAGTGTGAGGACATCACTACACTTGTATATCATTGAAACAACAAGACCCTCTGCCGTGATAAGTGATGGGACTTGTAGTTTCTCCATTCACAGATCCTGTCAAAGAAATATTGATAAATAACAAACATTTCCGATGTGTTATTTTGGGATTCTGTACTTAGCATGTTGTTCATTCCTCAGCGATGAGGCGACAGAGACAGGAAAGTTCGGCAGAGTTTACTAAGTAGCTCAGCATTGTTCTCACCTTATGAATCCAAGTGAAACGAATCTCCAGATCACATCTATGGATACTTTATTCAGCTTGGGGTTCCAGAGTTCTTCTGGCACAAGATAGGCATGGAGCTCAATCAGCTGGAATTGAGGAACATTGGCACATTAGGGCCACCGTGGTTCAGAAAAGAAGTGCATTTAATGATTGATTAATAAATACCGAGCTGCATTCATTTGCATATTTCATATCTGCCCGGAGTTTGGCTATGAGATGATAATTAGACTCAGTCAGTTGTCTACCGAATTTTAATTGGCACAGAGCCAGTTTAACTGAAGTGTGATTGGCTTTCAGTGATGAGGGGGCAATCTTAATCCATCCACTGGCATACACCATCCTCCGTGAAAGTTTTTTGAGTTATTGTTTGAACATATTAAAATTAAATGTATTTTATTTTTAACATAAAGTATTTGGAATGTGGAAGGATAAGAACCTCTGTTAAGGTTTTTCCTGATATATGTGTCCCTGTATGGGTGATTACCCTTCACGTCCTCTTGTGCCACTAAGACAGGAAGTGAAAAAAAAACTCTGACAGGGACAACAACAAAAGCATCTTCAGTAGTAGACAGTGAAAGAGTTTAAAAAGAGAGGTTGGAGTGTGGAAGAAAGGTTCCCATAACCCCTCCCTCCCCTCCCCAAAAGAGGACACCCGCGTTAATTTAAATGGGGGTGGGGGTTGTAAATATTCAATTTTTAATTACCAAAATCACTGGTGGTCCTGCCATATAGGTTTTTGTTTAAGCACTTCCTGTTGTAGGATGACAACTGTTATGCTGCAATGTCACCCTGTCTCAGGGGTTCTTGATGGAGACTACAAGTGGCCATGCTGACATTGCCCAAGCATGGAACACCATTGTCTCAATCAGGAAGCCAGCCCAGAGCATTAATATAGAGTATGTGCATACAGACAGGAAGGGACCAGATGCAATTGTTTATGACACACAAACTACATGTCATCCAGTCAAGCAGGCTGAATTAAAGAGAACCACTCATCTACCCAGCAGTGTAATTGAAGATATCTCCCCTGCTGGCTACTTAATTCTCCATTTAATATTCCAGGAACATCTTTGTTCAATGTAGGGTTGAAGGGACAGCATGGAAATATCCAACGAATTTCAGGTTTTCCTCTAGTAAGCCCCGGATGAAGGGAGTATTTGTATGAGCCCCTGAAATGTATTGGCCATATCCATACTGTCCCCTTAACCCAGCACTCCCGCAGCTGAATACCCGAACAGTGACCACAGCTGATTGACTGCAGTCCCTTTCCAACCAACAATTTGACGCTCTTTTCAGCTCCTTCCATTTTTCTAAGTGTAGTTTCTCGAGCCGGCGGGGCCACTCACGGTTAGACATTCTAACAGCGTACAGCCAGATTAAGGCCCCATTCACACAGGAATCAACCGGCACGTACAGCCCCGTGCCGCGTGCACGGCCGTATCAGGCAGCTCCCGGGAAGGACAGGTGCTGCTTGTGCAGCCCCTGTCCTTCTCTATGGGACTACGCGGCCATACGCCCCCCTGCGCTCACCTCAAGTGCACGTTCGTGCGGGTGCAGGTGAGCGTACTTGTACGCTGACAGGATGGATCCAGGAAACACGCACCCACATGGATGTGCACTTGAGGTGAGCGTAGGGGGGGGGCCTATGACCGCGTAGTCCCATAGAGAAGGCCAGGGGCTGCATACTAATCACACGCAGCACCTGTCCTTCCCGGGAGCTGCCCTATACTGCCATGCACGCAGCACGGAGCTGTACGTGCCGGCCGATTCCTGTGTGAATGGGGCCTTAGGGTTTAGATCTAATTTAAGTTCTATGTGAATCTGGAAGCTCCCACCTGACAACAAACATAAACAGGGAAGCACATCAACACTGTCAATGAAAGGTTTAGCACAAGGGCAGGCCACCTTGGCACTCCAGCTGTGGGGAAACTACAGATCCCGTCATGCCTCTGGGTGTCAGGCTCGTGGCTGTCAAGAGTTCTGCAATGCCTCATGGGATTTGTAGTTCCACAACAGCTGAGGGGCCGAGGTTGCCTACCCCTGGTTTAGCAGATGAAAGGTGTTGGCGCTCACCCCTGCCGTAGATGGCCTGGTCTGACTCATAGGAGTTTGAACTTGGTAGCTGTCCATGGTGAAGGAAATCTCCGAGCGGCTCTTTGCATCCCGGTGGAAATCGGTTAACGTATCGATAGATATTTTTGATCCCAGGGTCTGAGGGAAAGCGGTTCCAGTCGGTTATGCAGCATGGAAAGCTTTCAGTGTACAGTGCACGTTCCATTCAGTTGAACATAGGCACTTGGATGACACACCCTAAATACACAAGCATTGTCCAGGATGGGACTACAGCCCCATTGCATCACAGACAAGCTTTGTTTTGTTGTGTGTGTTACAAATTAGCTGAGTCCGTAGTCAAGAAACTGCTTTGTCCAGTTACCGGGTAGCTGCAATTTCCTAATCAGGGATTTGTTAATAGAAGGTTCTCCGATTCACAGAACATTCCTGCAGAAAGTGTGTTGGAGAGGTAGATGCAGGGTAGCCACCAGGGGGGTACGGCCGATGCCCATGTAATGGGCCGGGGCAACCTGGGGGGCCCTGGGGACGCCGCACCGCAGGTAGTTCCAAGGCTGGGGGGGAGGGCCCACTGACAGGGGAGGAGGTGGAGGTGGCTGGGCCCCAGCAGCGCCGGCCCGCTGGCGGAAGAGGCCGGGCCCCAGCACTACTGCTCTGGTGGCAGAGGAGGCCTGGTCCCAGCAGCGCTGCTCTGGTGGCAGAGGAGGCTAGGCCCCAGCAGTGCCGGTCCGGCAGCGGCGGTAGAGGAGGCCGGGGCCCAGCAGGTAAAAGGAGCTGCGTGACCAGCCTACCAGAGACCGTGCAGAGCCCACCATAGAGAGTCTCAGATGGGCTGTGCAGGATCTATGGTGTGCTCTGTAGGGTCACTCTCAGGTGGGCTGTGTGGGGTCTCAGGTGAGCTCTGCGGGGCCCAGATGGGCTCTGCAGGGCCTCAGGTAGGTCCTTAGTCCAGTGCGTTTCTAAGTCCAGAGTCCAGTGCGCTACTAAGTCCTGAGTCCAGTGTGTTACTAAGTCCAGAGTCCAGTGCATTACTAAGTGCAGAGTCCAATTCCCATAGTGTTCTGCATTGCTGTATAATGTATTGCTGGGATTTGTAGTCCCCCTACAGCCGGTGCCATTCTGCATTAGAGTGTAAGCTCCTCTGTACAGAAACTAATGTGACTGGACAAACACTGAGCAATCAACACTAACAAGAAAGCTGATTTGGAGTGCTGTTAGAAGTGTGTCACGCCTCCATGCGACAAATGTCGATGCCTGTAGAAGGCGGGGAGCAGCACTGAGGCCAGAGTGTCCATACCACGGACATTCTGTCCTTGATGCATGTTTAGCCCCTGGTCCGTACAGCATCCTTAGTTGCTATGATTATGTTGGCTGCACAACATCTTTGGTTACTAGGATGCTGTCAACAGCACAACACTATAGGTTGCTATGATGCTGTGAGCAGCACAGCATCCTTGGTTGCTAGGATGTTGCCAGCAGCACAGTATTCTTGGTTACTAGGATGCTGACAGCAGCACAGTGTTTTTGGTTGCTATGGTGTTGCAGGCAGCACAGCATCCTTGGTTGCTATGATGCTGTCAGCAGCACAGGGTCCTTAGTTGCTATGATGCTGTAAGCTGCACAACATGATTGGTTGTTTTAGTGCTAGCAACTAAGGATGCTGTATTTCTGACATTGGCTAAGCAACCAGCGCCCACTTTAAAATGGCATTGGCCTTATTTATCTTCATTTTTCTTCTCTCCGATCTGGTTTTGAGTATTTGGTGAAGAAAAGATGAGCATTGTGCTGCTGGAGATGGGAGCTTTAGGACCCATTACAGCACAGCAAGGCATGAACTGCAGTCACAAATTTGCCTCTTTGGGGGGAATTCCTAAAAAACTAGAGCGGACAGAATCTGGAGCAGTTGCCTATGGCAACCAATCAGCTTCTCTTTTCAGTTTGTTCAGTTAAGCTTTGATGTGAATGAAAGTGGGAAGCTGATTAGTTGCCGAAGGCAACTGCTCTTGATTCTGTCTGCTCCAGTGTTTATGAATTCCCCTCATAGAGGCAATTTTATCAAAAGTTTAGAAGACAGAATCTGGAGCAGTTGCCCATGTCAACCAATCAGCTTCTATCTTTCATTTTCAAAGCTAAACTGAAGATAGAAGCTGATTGGTTGCTATGGGTTTTTATGAATCCCCCAAGGTGTGTTATATTGTATCTTCTACCTCTTCCTCCTGATTTATGATCCGGAACACTTCGAACATGTCGTCAGGTTTGTATTGTGTATATAAGCACAGAAATGGTGCCTCGGATGTGTACATTTCACTGTGTGACATGTTACAACGTGTTCATCACATCTTATAAGATAACAGAAGCTCTGCCTTTTGTTCCCCTACAACTGAAGAGCTGATTAGCCGCTCGCTATCCTGAAAAATTAATGGTCCGCCGAGGGAATTTGAGAACATATTCTTCTCAGAGGCTCCTGACAGGCGTGTAATCCCATCCTGGACCTGCCAGACCACTGGGGGCCATTTCATGGACTTAAAGGAACACTCCACCTGCAAAGAAAAACGACACAAGTGTTTGTTACAAAAACACAACATAACCCATCATGCATTGCTTCTAGCAAGCAATGATGATGTTACATTGTTCAGATGCTGAGTTGTAATTTAGAAGGCAGGCTCTGTGAGAGTGGGGACACAGGGAGTACATATTGAAATGTGTAAGGGAAGTGACAGGTCTTTCTACTTACAACAGGAATGTAAGAAGCTGTGTAGAGTTAGTATACAAGTGACAGGTCCTCTTTAATTACAATTGTAGGATGCTGTGTAGGGTTAATATACAAGTGACAGGTCCTCTTTAATGGTAATAAATGTATAGGAATCTCCGTGGGATTAGTATACAAGTGACAGGTCCTCTTTAATGGTAATAAATGTATAGGAATCTCCGTGGGATTAGTATACAAGTGACAGGTCCTCTTTAATGGTAATAAATGTATGGGAATCTCCGTGGGATTAGTATACAAGTGACAGGTCCTTTTTAATGGCAATAAATGTATAGGAATCTCTGTGGGGTTAGTATACAAGTGACAGGTCCTCTTTAATGGCAATAAATGTATAGGAATCTCTGTGGGGTTAGTATACAAGTGACAGGTCCTCTTTAATGGCAATAAATGTATAGGAATTTCTGTGGGATTATTATCACAGGTCCTCTTTAATTGCAGTAAATGTATAGGAATCTCCGTGGGATTAGTATACAAGTGACAGGTCCTTTTTAATGGCAATAAATGTATAGGAATCTCTGTGGGGTTAGTATCACAGGTCCTCTTTAATTGCAGTAAATGTATAGGAATCTCTGTGGGGTTAGTATCACAGGTCCTCTTTAATTGCAGTAAATGTATAGGAATCTCTGTGGGGTTAGTATCACAGGTCCTCTTTAATTGCAGTAAATGTATAGGAATCTCTGTGGGGTTAGTATCACAGGTCCTCTTTAATTGCAGTAAATGTATAGGAATCTCTGTGGGGTTAGTATCACAGGTCCTCTTTAATTGCAGTAAATGTATAGGAATCTCTGTGGGGTTAGTAGACAAGTGACAGGTGCTCTTTAATTACAATTGTAGGAAGTTGTGTGGGGTTAGTAGACAAGTGACAGGTTCTCTTTAATTACAAGTGTAGGAAGTAGGGTTGCCACCTGTCCAGGATTGACCCGGACAGTCCGGGTTTTGAATGTTGTATCCGGGTTTCATGGCAGCAGAAACCCGGACACATGATGTCAGGCAGACGGGGGCAACCAAATTTAAGATAGGGGCGACTAGCCCCCAACTGAAAATAGTCTCAACTGTTATACTTACATATGAATGGGTGGCGCTATTATCAAAGGAATAAGCCATAACTCATTCTCCCCAAAAAAATGTCAGTGCGTCGCTGGAGTGTTTGGGTTTCGCTTGAAGAAAAGGTGGCAACCCTAGTAGAAAGCTGTGTTGGGTTAGTCCACAAGTGACAGGTTCTCTTTAATTACAATTGTAGGAAGCTGTGTGGGGTTAGTTCACAAGTGACAGGTCCTCTTTAATTACAATCAGAATGTATTTGTGTATGTCTATGTGAAGGGGTCACTTTGCTGCACTTTGGCACTCCTGTTACTCTGGATACCACTGCCAGACCCAAAAAAAAGCCTTAGGAAAAGGAGCGACAACAACAACCCCGCCCTTCCTGTCTCCGCTGCGCGCTCCCGCCGCCCAGGAACCTGCGAGCCCCAGAGCGTGCGCGCGCCCCTCCCCTCCAGCGGGTGATCCCAGGCCGGTCGCGCGCACCCCCCTTCCTCCGCCCTTATTAGCGCATGCTCAGTGTCCGCTCCGGAGAAGTCTAAGGCACGTCGGAAAAGTTGGCTGGAAAAGTTTGTCAGGCGGCAGCATGTCGGGGACAGTGAACGTGTCGGCCATGAGGAAGATGGTGCAGCAGCTGCGGCTGGAGGCCAGCATCAATAGGGTGAAGGTGAGGACGGAGGGGGGCGACTAGAGCCGGGTACAGACGGGACCCCAAACTTCCCTGTGTGGGGGGGAGGGGCGGCGGCTTCTTCGCTCTTCGTGTGTAAGCTTCCGGTGTGCTTATTATTGGGGGGGGGGGAAGATGTGTTATTACCCCATGGGGGGCAGTTTACAGCAGTCCCCTACAGGAGGGAAATGCATACATGGACAGGATGTCCGGTCCTCCGCCCTGCGTTTATATATAATACCTCACTTGTGGATGCACTGTCCCTTTTTAAGGCCTTGTCTACCCAAAAGTGATTAAATTAGTCTGGAGGGCTTAAAGCACACCACCTTCTGGCCTGGTGTACACCTCATATTTCCTCCTCACACAATTACTCCGTTTTTAATAGTTTTTGTTGTTTTCTAGGGCCCCTCCCCCATCCTGGACTCTTCCCCAGTGATGTCACCTGTGGCATTCTGGGATACAAACGTCCAGCATCCCAGGGGCCCACCAGATATGGCAGGATGCATATACCGGTGGTTGGGGTGGCTGTATGTTCTGGTCCAGGGCTCTGTCATTGTACCATTTGAACTGAATCTCCCCATCTGGGGTACACCGGCCCCCAGATTTCTGCATCACTGGGGCCCTCCAGGTATATACCGGGTGTGGGGTTGCTGTATGTTCCTGGTCCCAGGGCTCTGTCATTGTGTCTTGTGCCATTTGGTGTTCTGAGTCTCCCTGTCTGGGTACACCGGCCCCCAGATTTCTTCCCGGGCCCTAACCAGGAGGACGAAAGTCTCCACATCCAACATGGACTCTGGAATCCTCCGTTTACTTCACAGGTCTGAGGTCATTAGTAGGAGGAGACCGGATGATAGTGCATTTTTGCACCTAAGAGGATTGCCCTTTTAGGGGCCCCCATTCCCCCATTGATGTCTACGGGGCCACAAGTGCAATTCTGCCCCTGTGTACTTTTTCTTGCAAGTGACATGCTTTCATTTTTTATTCCAATTTGGGGATCCTGCCAGTGACACACTTCCCGTTCCTATGATGACAAAGCTCACTCACTGTACTATAGCTGTGGAGCAGCAGAGTGTGTTAGGACCACAAAACAACTCCCTCTCCTTGGCTTCATAACAAAATGTGAGGTGTGATGTAGTCCACAAAGAGAGAATGCTGGGAGCTGTGCCATCTGATAACAGAAAGCTGAGGAAGTGATCGGCTCACAAGATTTCTGGCAGGATCAACAAGTGTGGTTTTTAGCAGTGTCTGAATGCGTCAGTTAATGTAAAGCAGAATTTCGGTTAACGGTTTTATTAACCCTTGTGGTGGGTCTACCCCCCCCCCCCCCCTC